AAAGTAAAATTAAACCTAAAAATAAGGTTGAGATCTAACGTTTTTAGGTTGGTGGCTAGAAGCAATGCACATGATAGAATACTAGTTTGATGAGTAAGGTTATGTTTGGTAAAACTAGCTGATAGCTAAGCTAACTTATAGCTTATAAGTGATTTTTGAACTTGTAGCTTATAGTTTATAACTTATAGCTGAAAAACTAGTTTATAGGATAAAAGTGTTTAGTAAAATTAGCTGATAAACTAGATGAAATAAAAATTTCAACGAACTTATTTGAAAAGCTACCCAAAGAAGCGTACGTGATAAGCTCGAGTTTTTTAAGAAAATTCGCACTACCAACCGAAACTTATTTGAATACCAGAAGCTTATATGTTAACCAAAAAAACTATAAGCTAGCTTATTAGGCTATGTTTGGTAAAACTAGCTGATAGTTTCAGTAATTTTTTAGCTTATGGCTATGTTTGGTAAAATTAGCTGATAAGTTAGCTGATAGCTGATAAGCTAGCTTATAGCTTATCAATAATTTTTGAGCTTATAGCTTATAGCTTATGACTTATAGTTGAAAAGCTAGCTTATATGATAAAAGTGTTTGGTAAAATTAGCTGATAAACTAGCTCAAATAAAAATTTCAACAAGCTCATTTGAATAGCTACCCAAAAAAGCTTATGAGATAAGCTCGAGCTTTTTAAAAAAAACTCGTCCTACAAAACGAAGCTTATTTAAATATAGGAAGCATATAAGCTAACCAAATAAGATATAAGCTAGCTTATTTGTCAAGTTGTAAAAGTGGTTTATTCGTGTTGGAAGGTCAGACCGGGAGTAGAATCGAGAAAATATAATGCATATGAAAATGAATGGTTAGATAAAGAGTTTACCTGGGCATCTAGGTTGCAGGTATGTGGACAGCCTGCATGCAAAAGACACTGAGTCAAATTCCATATCTATACAGCCAAAGACAGAAATTCAATAAGTATAAAAATAAGAATCAATCTTTGCTTACGTAGCAGATATAGTCTTGTTCACAAATCCACTGTAACTGCAGGAAGTCACATTGCATCCTCCTGCAGATTGTTGTGCGGTGACATTACCAATCATGAGATTACTGTTTGGGCATTGCATGCTCGAGCAAGAAACTGCTAATGGGGCTGGCTCACAGTACAAACTGCAAAACATGAAGAAAAACAGAAAAAAAAAAAAAAAACAGAAAAAAAAAAAAAAAAGAAAATCCCATTAAGTTGCTAGAGAATATCTCTTCTAAGCAAGTTAATAGAAACGTGTCGTGCTCACTTGCGGCTCCCGGACCCACAACTGCACAGCACACAGTGACTGGCTGTAATGGCATAACTACCGTTGGGCACAACCAGGCCATAGTCCTCAGCGTAGATCGGGAAATTCGATGCACAAGCTGAATAATTGTTGCAATAATATGGTGATTTATTTAGTATATCAAATAAGTAAAATAAGTAAACCCACTAGATTAAGGCATACACAATCATGGTTATCCCTAGTAGAGTTTTTCTTGAAATTGGAATAATTGTATGCGTCTTTCGGAGTGAAAAATGTAATTTCTGTGGAAACAAATGAATCTGGTTTTAGAGTACTTATTTGCATTGTAGTGACAAGGAGAACTATACAACAAAAGAATGTAAAGGGTAAAGTGTTTTGAATACAATTTCAACCGCAGCCAGGCAACGTGCAAGAAAATATAAACCAAAATTTTGGCCACAAGTCATGAACAAGTGTGTTATTTGACAAACAACACAAATGCAGGACAATGAATAAGATGGGTGCGTTTTTTAGCATTCTGCAAATTAAGAACATAATACCAAAGTCTACATAAGATAATCGAAGAAAAAGAGATAATCTTAGAAAAACAAAGTCTCCACACACAATACCCAGAGAGAACCACCTAATTAGGCATATTTGCAAAAGGGCAAAACAGCAATCAAATAAAATAATGTCAGTTTCTTTCTCAACAATTTGCTAATTAAGTACCCATTCCTCTTCACATATGCATATAGAAAGCAGCTTCCAATCATTACCACATTACCAGAACAACTTAATTCCCTAATTGGCTCCACATTACATCATTAACACCACATCAAAACTAGTTCAGTCAATTATCTATAAATACAACAAATTAGCTCCTCAAGCAAATAGCACAATCAAGCACTGCTCAAAAATCAAACCCCCTCCATTGTCAAAACTTTACTACAAAAAAACAAAGAACAAATATAAAAGATGTAACCTTTTTAGAGAAAGAGAGAGAGCATCACTAACCAGACAAGGGGATAGCAAGAATATCACCGCCCTCAAGATCCTGACTTGCCATATTGTTGACATTCATCAAATCAGTCACCGTGGTCTGGTAACTGGCGGCGATTCCAGAAAGGGTATCTGCACTTCCGTTCACCACATAGGACATGTAGACCGCCGGCAAGTTGTTGTCTGTGTTGTTGAAGCAGGTGCAGGGGAGAGGGATGCTCAGCTGGGTCCCGGCGGGGATGACGGCGTCTGTGATGCCGGCGTGTGGGTTGGCGGATGAGATCTGGTCGGGGGAGACGAGGCCGCCGTAGACGCCGCCGGAGATGGAGGCGGCGGTGTCGGAGGCGAGGGTGCGGTAGGTGACGCCGGCGGCCTGGCGGATGCCGTTGAGGCAGGCGCAGCGGACGGGGACCTTGAGGAGGAGGTCGGAGGGGAGGATGTGGTTCTCGACGTCGGGGATGGAGGCATCGAAGGCGTTGGCGAGGAGGAGGGCGATGGGGTCGACGGCGAAGAGGGAGGCCACCTGGGAGACCTTCAGGTCGGTGTAGAGGGTGTAGCCCACCAGGGCCGAGCAGACGCCGGAGTCCGAGCAGGGGTCGATTGTGGACTTCGGGGCGGCGCGTGGGGGGAACGCGCAGAGGGCGGCGAGAAGGATGAGGAGGAGGGCGGGTGTGGGAGCGCGCATTCTCCGCGCGTGGGATTCCTGCGTGGGTATGGGATGGGCGGCGGCCGGCGGTGGGTTTAGAGGGGGTTTGGGAACAGAATCCGCTCGAGTGTGTTATTTTAGGGGGAAAATAAGAAAGAAAGAAAAAAAAAAAGAAAAAGAAAAAGGGGAAATGCGTTGGAAGCTGAAAAGACTGTTTCTTGGGGTTGTTTTCTGGAGCTGTTGCTACAGCCTACAGGCCACAGCGGCTGCCTCACACACAGNTTTTGCACCTCAACTTATTCAACAAAGTTTGAACTAAATATAAAATTTTTTGGTTTTGTTGGATTTTTTTGTTTGGTTTGGTTAATTTTTAAAAAGGTAGTATGGTTAGTTGTTAGTGGGTATATTAGAATAATATTTAAAATAAAATATTAAAATTGATTTGATGTAAAGTATGAGAGAGATGATTTGAATTGATGGTTAGTTATAATTATGTGAGTGGATGAATAATAAATTAAGATTGATTTGGTGTGTATTAATTTGATATTATTTTATTATATTGATAATGTTGATGATAGGGGGTTGAGTAAAAGTTGAGTTAAAAAAAAGTGATTAAGTTAAAAATTATGACCTCAACGAGGTGTAGACGTGGCAAATTGCAGGTTTCAGAATGGTATGGAACTGTCGGTTTAGGTTCCCATTTTATTGTTATGTTAATCAAAATTGCTTTGGATATAGATACGAGCTGATACATTCACATATTAATCAAAATTGATGATATAGGTACGGGATGGTACATTGAATCGACAGTCCATGGTTTAAAATAGGTCAACATATTTCTTAAAAAAAAAAGAAAAAAATTGGAGAGGGAAGTTTACAAAATTAGATTTGTACTTAGTTGATTTAAAATATCAATTAAGTTGAAAGACCTCCGGTTATAAAATAATATTATAACTTATAATATGTCAATTAAGTTGTCTATGTATCCTTTAGTCCTCGTAGTTCTCTTATTTTATTTGCCTTGATGAAAGAAGATGGTGTGATGCGTTGAACACTCTAGTAATGGTAGGCCTCGTAGTCGTCTTCGGTTCAGGTGGTTCCACTAGTACTAGTAAAATCATCTGCCTCTCCATCGCCATCCTCTTGGTAGTTAGCATGATCGTTGTTCCCTATCATTCTTGTAGGGATTATAAGTTAATCGCAGTCACCAAAATTTGAGTCAATTTACGGTGTCATTTATGGATAATGAGAATAAAAGACTCATAAGCTGAAGAACAAAATGATGTGGGATTGTTCTCTAGTCCGATTTATGTTTTTTTAGACAATTCATACAATAAAAAATTTTGCTTGCTCGACGAGCAATCATGGGTTAGGTATTTCCGTGACATAATAACATCAGAAAAAAGTGGGAGTTGATACATAATATCATAATAAGCGTGGAGTTGGATGAGCAAGCAACTTTCACGTTGTGACAAATCTAACAAACATGCAACTAAAAAAGTATCGAGAATATAAAAATAGAATTTTAACCATTTTCTTACCATATCTCTTACAAGTTCATCGTGTCTGTCAGGATCACTAGCAAAAATATCTTTAAAACCCCACTTTATGGCTACACATTGGACTACCACAAGTTGAGCAATAGGATAGTAAAAGCTAGAAAACATGTTAGTAGCAGTATGAAATGTTTCTAAAGATTCTATAAGTATTTTACAATTCATCCAATTATCAATACTAAGGGTGATATTACAATCACGACGGTAAGGACTTATAAAAAAGGTTTTTAATTGAACAATATATTCACACATTCTTGTTAATAATTTCAAACTTCTAATAGAAGTTCTGGAGACAATAAAGTATTCGTCTTGGCGGAGAAGTAAAATACCTAAAAAAAGTTTGGAGCTCCAAAAATGGAAAAATTCTACACTTAAGAAGAAAGGTAAAAAACTAAAAACTGATGAATAAAAAATAGGGTTCTCCCATTCTCCCCAAAATCGCCGCCGCCGTCTTCCTCCATAAATCTGCAATCTGAGCGCCTCCTCAGCGGCTGACCGGCTTCGCCGGTGGCCAGTCCTCCACCGTATCTCTCTCTCCCTGTTCGAACACCTCTCTCCGACGCTATGGATGGAGGGGTTTAGGAGGCCAGGTCTTCTCGTTTCCGAATTCGGGACTAGGTCGATCGATGTCCCAATTTCTATGGTGGTTCTGAGCGGGGTAGGTCATCAGGGGTTGGGAGCGGCTTGGGTGGCTCGTGGCGTACAGGTCGGAGTTGGATGGTCGAGGCAGAGGCTCTTTCTTGCCCCCGTTTTCTCTCTGCTCCCTGGTGTGTGGTCGGAGAGGAGGCCGGTGTGCCGGTCCTGGCCAGTGGTGTTGGCCGGTTCTGGTGTAGCGGTGGTGTGGGATGGCGAGTTTGCTTGTCCTCAGTTTTCGCCGGTCCTAGCCGGCGGTCATGCGTAGCTGCTGGAGCTCGGGATCTTTTGATCTCCCGTTCTCCTTGTCCTCTGATGCTGGGTGCGGGGGGAACCGATGTCACCGGATTCGGCTAGTGGTGTTGGCTGTGTTTGGAGCATTGTTGGTGTGGGGAGTGACATTGGTTCTCAGTCGGTGAAGGGCGGGCGGCCTTTGGGTGCGGTTTGAGGCTCGAGTTGCCATATCAGCTAGGCAATTAGGTAGTTTCGGGGTCGGTTTCTTGAGCTGTGGACCTTCCTTGGGGTCGTCTTAAGTCCACTTGGTATTGCTAGTCCGAACTGCTGAGGGAGGATTTTGTTTTGTTATGCTCTGTTTAGTTTTTTTAGTTTAGTTTTGTGTGTTTCGTTGTTTGTGTTGTTTAGGTCTGTTTCTTTGGTTTGGGCCGTTGGCCCTTGTGAGCCCGAGTGAGATCGGGCATTACTCCGTTGGGGGTCGTTCCACATTACTCCGTTGGGGGTCGTTCCACAGTAGTTTGGTATTTTGTGTTGTGTTTGTGCTGTGTTGTTTTGAGTTTTTTCTCTAGCGTTGCTAGCCGGGTTCTAGGCGTTCAAGACCTGGCATTGGTCTTGGCCACCAGTACTAGAGACTCAACGAGTGGCAAGGTTGCACTCAAGACTTGGCGGATCCTTCGCGAGGTGGTGAGTGGCGAGGAAGTTAAGTGAGCAGCTTGAGCCATGGCAAGTGCGCTCAACCCTTGGCAAGTTGTGTGTTGTGTTGGTGGGTAGCTCGAGTCTTGGCGAGTGTACTCAAGCCTTGGCAAGTTGCGTCAATGTGAGATGGTAAGTTAGCCTCCAAAAAGGGTATGAGTCTCATCCTCGATTAGTAGTGGACCTCAAGCTTTCAGTGGCTCAGTTTCTTTTTTTTTTTATTTTATTTTATTTTTTTTGGCCGAAACGATAGAGGATTTATATAAAAGCGCACAAATGTGCAAAGTTACAGCCACTAGCTGAATAATACAACCGACGACTGAGAAAACTGGGAGGACAGGTCCGAAGACCGCCTAGATCCGAAAACTAGCAATGCTAGAATACTCGGCAACACACTAAATACTAATACATTACAAAACACTAAAAAAATAACACAAAGACCCCAAACAATTTCTTCCCTCGAACTTACAAAGCATAAAAAAGTACGAATAAAAACGAAAAACACAAAGACACCATAACAACAACAAATGTAGATAGAATGGACCAGAATAATACATATATGAGTCAAAATAGACTCGACTCACACGTACAAAAAAAAAAAAGAACAATAATAAGCACATAAACATAACAATACCGACCTACCAAATATTGCGTCGGTCTATCGAATTACTTTGTGGTGCTATACTAGGTGTTGCAAAAGCAACTAATGAGATTTTGCTTTGAAGAAAATTATAATTTTATTTTACGTGGAAATCTTTTGGACTATCTAGAGGGTGACTGGATATAAAATATTTTGGTTTTGATCGGATTTATTGGATAAAATGAGTTATTTTAAACAATGTCGATTGAATGAAGACTGAGCGAAATATTGAGTTTTCATTTAAAATAATGTTTATTTTGTAGATAAAAGTTAATGTGATGTAAAAGTATGAAAGTTGTGATTGAAAATACTGAATATCTTAAAAATATGTGAGTGGATGAATGATGTTTAAAGTTGATGTGATGTGTGAAAATGATTGATTGGTATTAATTAATTATAGTAATAATATTGATAAAAATTAAGTTGAATAAAATTAAGTTGGATTTTAATTTAAAGAGTATAAAAAAGTTATTCTCTCAATCGAAAAACCGGATAATTTCTTTAGTCAACGGCTACCTTAATAATTAATAGCCTACCTACATTCCTCATATATTTTTTAAGTGAACATTTTAAATTAAATTAAGGTAGTAAGGATGTTATGGTAATTTAGCAACACTGCATTTTGACAGTAAGGATTGTCTGGATCGAGATGTACCCCACTTACACTTTGGGGCCTGTAATTCAAACCCGTACTTTTGCTGAATACGTCAAAGTAACTTGATTTGCGGATCCACAGTGGATGAGTGGGCCCCCTCTTATAAAAGGTCAGCCCATTGGGCTGTTAAATTATTTAAGGGATGAAATGTAAAGGGGGTAAATTTCTCTAATATTTTCTGTTGATCACAGACGGGCTTGTGATGTTTGGAACATCAATGGGCCTCAAATTGTGCCGACATCCATTAGCGCGTGTTAGATCTGAAATTGAGGCTGTGGGCTGGTCTGGATAAACTCTTAAAGTCAACAAAATGTATGTATGTTTCTTAATTGATAGTAGAATTTCTATAATATAAATTTGATAAATTAATTAATAATATATTAGTACGAATCTTGTGCGATGCACGGGTAAAAAATATTCATTAATATTTATAAATTAAAAAATAGTCATTAATAATATTTATAAATAAAAAATATGGAATCAATATGTACTATAATTTACCTATATTAATTTATTGAAAATATTATATAAAGTTAAATTGTGTAAAATTACATAAAACATGTTTATTTAAATTAGTACACAACCCGGTGCACGTAACTGATAATATGATAAATTATGTTACATTCGT